ATTGATGTACTAGATTTGATGAAAGATTGGTGAAATCTGTTTAGATAAAAAGATTGATGAAATTGGTGAAATTACATATAACAGTTAGAGGTTTTTTTTGTCGGTTTTGACTTTGTTGTCTTATTTGTGTGTGAATTGGTTACTTTGGTTTGATGTTAGGTATTTCTGTTGTTTACATCTTGATTCTATGTAATTCTCATATTATGGACGAAAACCACACTAATGTGTTGATTGTGAAACATTTATAAAAAAAGAACTAGATGTGTGTCTGTGCAAAGCGGCGACAATAAATAATTTTTTTGTTTAATAGTTTCTTATGGGGAAATAATTATTAGATTTAGTTATTAGTTATTATGTAATAAAAAATTACATTTTTTATATAGAATATTTATGTTTATATTGTATGTTTTTACTATTAATGTAAATTAATTCGTATTGGTGTTTAGTTTAAGAAATTCAAATTAATTTTTGTAGATGAATTTAATATTTAAAAATTTTCATTTTGTTTTAAATTGAATTTCTTAATTACTTTCATTAATTCAAGTTTTCAAACTTTTCAAAAGTATTAATGAATTATTTATGCATAATTGATTTGTACAAAAAACTTTATAATTTATACCTCTTAAAATTCAATATATGATTAATATGCTTTATAATATAGTATAAGATAAACAAAAAAATGTATATGTGATAATAATAATACCTTCAAGGAGTTTGTCAAAGTGTACGTGACTGAAGGAAGAAAAAGGCATAGATGCAATACTCACTACATTAAGGTTGGGTGAGAGAATACAAAAAAATACATTAATGAAAAAACAAGAAAAATCTTTGGAAGAAAACACCTTAAAAACCAATGGAACAACAAGAATCGTACAATCTCACACAATGTGGTAATAGTAGTGAAGGTCATGAAGAAGGTCCGAGTACACATCGCACAAGTAATGATGATTCATATATGACAACATTACGAGATATTATTATGCAAGATATAATCGAATTGTGAAGATGGATGTAATAGGATGTTACCTATGATATTTTTTATGAATTATTTACAATTTGTATTCTACTTTTTTATAAGCATAATTTTAATATTATCATGGTAAAAAAATGTTTAAAAAAGTTTATATTATATATTTATATACTGTAAAAAATGTTATATAAATTAAAAATTTTGTGTAAAAAAATTGTTAAGTATAAAGTATTATATGTGTGACATCCCCACTTTTTATGGTCTGAAAAAGAAATTTCTGTTTATTATTTGAAAACAAAGTATTTATTAAATTGTGGAATTTATTCCATAAAAATAATTCCGAAGAAATGTTTTATTAATAAAATTTTGGAATGTCATAACTGATACAATACATAAGCATAATCTTTATAGACCTTATAGGAATTATACTGATGTCCTAAAACTCCTTGAATCTCTCAGCATAATGTACCTTCAAACCATTACATATGATACAAAGAAACTGAGTGGGTTAGGTTGGAGAACCTGGTGACCACATAGGGTTTTCAACCCACAATAATATAATTATATTTTATTTTACACAATTAACCCGATTACACATTTTCGTTATTCTCACTCCTTGATCCTAAGGTGATGATCTTGCTGGACTTATCCTAAAGGATATTTGTGAGTAGATAATATTACTATGGGGGTTCTGTAGCAATATATGTTAATAGGGAAACCATGAGGGGGATAGAGTACCCAAATGTTCATCTTCTCTTTTCCCTAAAAAGTATGATCATTAACACCCTCAACTGGCGTTCCACCGGACTACCTAGACTAGTTAGTGGTCATCATCTATAGTATGTTAGATGACTGGTCCTATAATATATACATGACCTCTCACCATTACTTTATTTTATTCCCTAAACTTTTTACTACCTATTGTAAATATGATAAAGTAATTTATATAAAATCAAATAATATTATAGCACAAAATTCAAGTAGATAGATAAAAAGTACATATAACATTTAATAGATACTTCATGTCTATATGTAAGCTAAACGTAACTATGCACTCACTTGGCTTAGGTGGGTGAGTAGTGATTTGGACAGAGTTTCGCCTAACACCTTAGATATTCTCTTAATGTGACCTAAGTATGATTAATACAAAGTTTTAGTCTAATGATCTTGCTGATTAATAGTAGTATACATTCATCACTAATCTTAATGTCTACAACAATATTCAACTCTCGTTTAGATTGTTTTGGCTAACAATCAGCCGATTAGAATTTTAATTTTTGTGTTCGCACTGCTACACTTAAACTTCGAAAAATCATAATTTTCTCTTACGAAGTCAGATTTGGACGTTCTCTATATGTATGCTATCAGTTTAACGAATACTACGACTTTTGTTTCGATTACTTTGGCTAGAAGTATTTTGTAAAAAATTCACTTTTTATGACGCGCAGGGCCGTACCGGTTAATCGCAAAACTTCGAAGAAGCATAATTTTATCATACGAAGTCGGATTTCAACATTTTTTATATATGTGAAATATTTATCATATCTACTATAACTTTTGTTAAGATTATTTATCCTAAAAAAATTTCTATCAAAAAAATCATTTTTAACACTTATTATCTTTAAAATTAACTAGCATGAATCTGCGGACGTTACAATATGTAAAATAGTAAACCGTTCTAAATATGTAAACATGTCATTTTTGGTCATTTTACAAGTAAAAGCTAAACCAAACACTTTTTAAGAAAAATTCATAACCAATATGCACTTTTTTCTCAAAAAAAAAAAAACAAAAAAAAAAAAAACAAAAAACTTTTAAGGTCTCCAAACACCCCGATTAATTAAGTTAAAGCAGCCGAAAGTTAATAAAAGGGTAAATTACATCAATCGTCCCTCGTGCACATACCATAAAGCACATTTAGTCCCTATTTATAAAAATTAACTCGGACTGTCCCTGAGTTTCTTTTTTCTTGCGTGCTTGGTCCCTATTGATATGAAATGACTATTTTACCCTTAGTAATTTCTTTTTTCATTTTCTTTTATTTATTTATCAGTTTTAAATTTAAAAAATAAAAAAATAAATCAAATATCCCCTCTTCTCTTCCATTTCTCCATCTCTGCAACAAGGTTCTCCACAAATAACCCACCACCACCTATCACCGCCTGCACCTCTGACACCACCACCTGTCACCGTCATCTTCTCCGGCACCACCACCTATCACCTTCATCTCCGCCAGCATAACCATCTATCACCTCCAATAACTCCTCTCACTAAAAGCTAGATATGTCACCACATTTCATTTTCACTTCCGGCGACGCCTGAAGTACCACCCTTCATCTATACTCCGGCCAAACCCTTCTTCTCCGCACCACTATCATTGTGATCTCCCTCACCCTCACCGATAGAAAAGGAACAACAAATCTGCTATTTTCTGCCTTCATCTTTGATTTTAAACCCTAGATCCACCTTCACCTCAGTTCCAAACCCTAGATCTGATGTACGTTTCGCTGGAGTATTACCTGAGGTTTTCGTGTCGAATTTGTTAGGGAGGAACAAATTTTATTCAGTTTACAAAGGGGTTTGTAGGACAGATTAGTTGTGGAAGTGTACGAGTGTGAAGAGTTGCAAGGTTAATGAAGGTAAGTTTCTAGTGGTTTTGCAATCTCCCTGTGGTGGTTCGGGCCGTGGTGGTGTTAATTTTCATTGATGGTGGTGATTAAGTGTTCTTCAAACAATAGACAGAGAGAGAGGATTCGCCAGAGATGGTGATGGATGTAGAGAGGGTTCATCGGAGAGATTATCCACCGACGATGGCTTAAGGATGAATGGCTATATGTTTTTTTGAAAACTTTAGAGAAGAAAGACAGTAATGGGAAGGTGGGTTGGGTGGGGAGATGGGTTTGGATATGAAGTGGGACCATATTTTTTTTTCTTTTTATTTTTTACTTAATAATAATAACAATAACATAAATTTAATTATAAAAGAAATACATAAAGGGCATTATGGTCATTTCAAATATGGGCAAGGACTAAAGTCACAATAAAATCGCATATTAGGAACGAAGCATGCACATTACAACAAACGAGGGACGGTCCGAGTTAATTTTCAAAAATAAAGACTAAACGTGCTTTTCGGCACTTGGATGAGAGACGATTGGTGTAATTTACCCTTAATAAAACAGTACTTATCATTTTTGTTTTCCTTTATAAATTTTGTTGTTTAGAAAGGCTTCAGTTCGATTTCCTTTTATAGATTGTATCTGAGGCTAAATTCAAGAATAAAATCTTATAAATTAATAAAATAGATAAACATTTGCACATGTGAATGTTTTTGCTTAACCAGGTGAATCTTCATCGAAATTCTCATTTCTTCAAGACTTTAACGGATGTTTAATATTCGCCCGGCTCAAATATGTTGACACTTTCTAGTTTGATATTTCCACAATTCAAATCGCTTTCCATGATTTGGTCCAAGTTATTGTGGATTAATATCCTAATAACAAATTATTTGACTGATACATATGATTTTTAATTTCTTACATACGCCATATGAAAATATAAATAACTTAACTCTTGATTTGTTTAATGTATCTATCCTTTTATTCAATGATCTTGAAAGCAAGTTGTTCATATGGGACCCAATTCCAAACCTTAAACATTGAATACATTTTTTTTATATCCACAAACGTTTCAATCTAGTATCGATGATCGATTTTACATATTCTTTATGTTCATTTTGTGATTCATCCCAATTAACAATTTAAACAATTGAAGTTGTTAGTTACGACAGTTGATGATAACAAAATTTTCCTTTTGTTATAATTCAAAAATCTTGAAATTATACTCATAACTCGATGAAAAAAAAAATGATTAGACTGATAATGATCTAAGTAATGAATTTTAAAAAATGTTATGAATCTGTATATTGATCAAAATGTTACATGAATCAAAGCATTCATGTACAGAGTTTCCATATTTGATATTTGTATTGTATAATTGGTTCGATTTACAAACATGATCATCGTGAATCTCAGCTGCATAACGGACGCGTGATCGATCGGGTTCTCAAATTGAGATTCATCGTGCAATTCATCTCAATTGTTTTTCTCCGATCGACGATCGTCAGAGCATGAACTCTACCTGTCATCTTCGCATAGCTTATAATATCCATCAGTTCCGTACTATCGCTACCACTGCCGCTAATATTCAAATTCTCAGATCTAATTTGCATCGTAACACTAACCGGTTTAATGTTTCTGGCGCCAACACGGCCACCGGAAATAACTCCGCCACCAATCGTAGAGTTCCCGTACAAAATAACAGCGTTGCAGTTCTCGAAGTCGTATCGGCCGAAGTTTTCGTTGTCGATCGTCACCTCGGTTAACATCGTGATGTTTAGCGACGTTGAATTCGTGTTCTCGTATTGGAAATTTTGAATTGAAACGGTGCTTAGCCGGAGCTTAGGATTGTTTACACGAAGAAAGACCGAACCAAAAATTACGAAGACTGTGCCAAGGAAGACGACGGCGGCGAGTACGTAAACGATGCACTTGCTGCTTTCCTGGTACTTCGGTTTTCTGAAAATTAGGGTGGTTGTAGACGGTTGTTCATCGCTCTTTACGCCGGCCGGTGCAAGTCGCTTGCTCTCGCTCTCTAGGTCTGCCATGTGTCTCTGTGTGTTGTTCGAAGTGTTCAATATGTGTTTGTAGATGTGTATATATAGAAAGGGGTAACAGACACGTATATATAAAGTTTCATATCGACCCTTCTATTTAAAAAAATGTCAATTCATTCCTTAGGTTGGTTGGTTCAGACATATTTAATTAAATACGTTGAAAAACTCTATCAAATCCAACCGTTTAAGTAATTGTATTGAGAATTTCCAATCTAACCCAAAGTTTTTAGTAAATTGGTTGAAATCGAATTGTCATGTTTATTGTTTTGCAACCGACTATATTTACTAAGCAGGTTGAACCCAATTAACCTGTTTAAATAAAAAAAATCTTTAAAATCAAATAATTCATCAAATAAAATTATATACAATTTAAAAGATATTATAATATAATATCCCAAAAATCATACTAAAATTTTTTATTTTTGAAAAAGATTAAGTAGTTTTCATACCCCATAATCATGAAAATCACTCTTCACATTTTATTATAAAATTAGAGTATCAACATAACATCACTCTAAAAACATGAAAATCAATTGATGATGTGTACAATCACGCATTCGTCTTGTCTCAGTCCTCAGAAGTACCTGAAACATTTGAATTCACATTGTAAGTTAAAGCTTAGTGAGTTAACCAAAATATCACATACAACACACCACAACAAATAAGACAACTACGGGTTATCGTCAACCCTGAGTTATTCGCAACTCAATGTTAGCTATTTCGGTTACTAGCAACCCCGAGTTAGAAATAGCTTACTACAACATGTTGGGTTATCAGCAACACTGTCACACCCCCAAACCAAGGATGGCGGAAACGTCCGGGGGTGGAGGACTTTATGTAGAGTATCACAACAATGAGTATAATAGTGCTCAAAGTAAATACAACCAACACAAATATAATTGAAAACGTTACATCAAAGCACATGTTTACATGATTCACATCAATTACATTATAATACAAAATGAACTGTTTGACGATTTATTGTCCCATCCTCAAAACGTTGTTGATTTCCTGTTTTCACTGAATTCCTGAGAATACAAGTAGTTTTGAAAAGTATCAACACAAAGGTTGGTGAGTTCATAAGAGATTTCGTTGGAAAAGTAAATCGTTTTCCTTGTAAAAGCGTTAGAATATGTATCCAGAAAATCCGATATTTTCTTTAAAATCTGCGTAATGTAGTCTTATGACTGAAGACCAAAATGTATAAGTAACCTTTCTTATTAATAGAAAATGTTATGCACTTAAATGGACATGGATGCGTTTGAATTAAATGAAATTTATGTATGTTCTCATGTTCGTTAATACTTTATATATATGTAGTCCTAAATTAGAGGACCGAGAAATAACAAGTATTGACCATACTTAAAAGTATAAATGTGGTTTCAAATGATGTGTAGTCGTAACTACCAAAACCAAAAGTGTACAGTAATATCTGTACTCATAGAGGTAAAAAGTGATTTTAAATCGACATAAAACTCATTTAGGTTTTAAAAATAAAATCCCGTAAACTTATGGATTGTTATATCCCTATGTGAGTCGCTATAATCATACTATGATTATGTGAACCTGCCACGACGTTCTCAGGTGTCGCGAAAAATAAAATGACATTTGTCACCCGTAGACCTGCAGGTCCAATTGTAGCTAGCAGCAAGATGTGGGGTGTCAAACCCAATATAGATCTATATACAAGTATCACGTTCTCCCTCAAGGAGATTCTGATTATAACTACCAGGAATTATATCCCGCACTCGGACGTACGGGGAGAGAGAGAGAGAGAGAGAGAGAGTCTCACAATATAGGTTAACAAGTTTACATGAAATGTGTGTGAATATAAATATTTCTTGTATGAATGTACCCTTCTTGTACGAGTGTGTTGAGTGATGTATCATAAACTATACCTATTATAGTTTATCTAAAATGCATGTAATATGTAGGAACTCTTTTATGGAAATGTATTAGTATTATGAATTTATCAAACTATAGGTTAACAAATTTACGTGAAATGTGTGTGAATATAAATCTTTCTTGTATGGATGTACCCTTTTTGTACGAGTGTGTTGAGTGATGTATCATAAACTATACCTATTATAGTTTATCTAAAATGTATGTAATATGTATGAACTCTTTTATGGATATGTATTAGTGTTATGAATTTATCAAACTATACTTTTTATAGTTTAATATACGTGTTCTAAAATGAATGAATAATATTTATTATGAATGACTTAGTTTCAGTTCATGGTGATAAACTAACAAAGAAACATATTCAATAATTAGAACTTATGATTATACACTTTGCTCAACATATTACAAAGTGTTATGATATTTACATGTTGTTGGCTAAATTTAGCAATTCTGCCCTGTTTTGGAAAAATCATAGAAAAATCATACGAAGTCGAAAACTAGATTCGTAAATTCTGAGAGTTCACAAAATGTGTCTAGTTTACTCATAATTTTTATCACGATTTTTAATGACCCCCAACTTGGGTGAAAAAGTTCATAATCACAGACTGGTCCGGATTGTTGTTTGAAATGATAGGTAGTTTTGTAAAAATCACCATAAATTGTAGAAAAATCGTATGGAGATGTGCAAGTAGTCATTTTAAAGCTAAAAACTTGAACTATTTTCACCTTGTACAGTTTTGAAAACAAAAATGTTTAAGATGCCCAAAACAGTCCGTGAATGGAGTTGAACTTTTCTGATGAAGGCTGTTAGAAAATTTTAGTTATGTTCTTAGTGTTTTAACTTGTATTCCCCCCCTGAAAACTTGAGAAAACATAAAAATGTAGGGGTATGAACTCACCTTGAGTGATTTCAGTAGATAAGTGTTGAATAAGAGAAGTGTTCAACCCAAGAACACTTGAAGAATCACTTGAAGATTCGAAGCTCTAACGCTAATATGACGGAGTTTGTGTAAGATATTCATGATTTGAGTAGAATGAAGTGAAATAATCATAAGGAGGATGAATCATACTTACTAAGAGTGGAAGAACACTTGAAAGTCAGCCTTGAATCTCGAAATTGGAGTGGGAAAAGTTTGAGAGAAAGTGGTGTTTGATACTTAGTGAAATGAGGGCAAATGAGAGAAAATGAGGATAGAGGATGTTTGTTCCAGCTCTAAAAACGTGGGAATGAGTGTAAATTGAGTGTAAGGGACATTGAAGTGACTTAGGTAAGGTGGGGAGGTGTGGTTAGTCAAAGAGTGGGTGTGGGGTGGTTGCTTGTGACATTGGATAAGGCAAAGTCAACACTCCACCTTTAATAATTCACCCATTTGATTTTTATTATTTAGATAATGATTTTCATCAAAATATGTTTAAATTATGAATATTTAGAGTTTATTATGTTAAAATATAATTTCTGGAGAAAATCCCGCTTTAAAATCACGAAAAACGGGCTTAAAATGTTAAAAATATCAAAAATGGGCTAAAAGTGACAAATTTCCGAATTCTGGCCGAGGTTCGGCCTTCTGATGCTGAACCGAGAGAGAGGGAGGCAGAAACCGAGAGGGAAGAAGAGAGAGGGAAGGAACCGAGAGGGGGGAGGAGAGAACAGAGGGGCGCGAAGAGACAGAGAGGAGAGAAGAGACAGAGCGGCGGAGTAGAGACAGAGAGGAGAGAAGAAGCAGAGCGAGAAGCGAACAGAGAGTGAGAAGCGACAGAGACCGAGGCTCGGTCCTCGCGCGCCTTAGCCAACAGAGGCTCGGTCCTCGCGTCTTAGCCAACAGAGGCTCGGTCTTCGGTGTCTTAGCCAACAGAGGCTCGGTCCTCGGTGTCTTAGCCAACAGAGGCTCGGTCTTCGGTCCTAGGGCCTTTTTGGTTCTTAGTCTCGGCCTTAAGGAGCTTCGGCTCCTTAAGAAGGGTTTCGGTTCCTAAGGTCCCGTTTTCTCGTTTTTACCCCGTTTTAAGCCGTTTTTGACCCGGTTAAGGGTCGGAATGACCCAAATGATTCCAAAAAGTTACGGGAAACTTTTGAGAGAGATTTGGGAGAGATTTCTCACACTTGGAGAGATTTGGGAGAGATTTGACATTCTTGGAGAGATTTCTCATACATAGAGATATTTGCAAGAGTTTTCACATACTTGGAGAGATTTGGGAGAGATTTGACATTCTTGGAGAGATTTCTCATACAGAGAGATATTTGAGAGAGATTTCACATACTTGGAGAGATTTGGGAGAGATTTGACATTCTTGGAGAGATTTCTCATACAGAGAGATATTTGAGAGAGATTTCACATACTTAGAGGGATTTGGGAGAGATTCGACATTCTTGGAGAGATTTCTAATACAGAGAGATATTTGAGAGAGATTTCACATACTTGGAGAGATTTGGGAGAGATTTGACATAGAGAGAGATAGAGTGAAAACGATTGAGAGAGGATCCATGTGTGACAATTGTGAGTGTCCGGCATCGCAATGCATGGTTCGTAAACCCTGTTAAGCCTTGTTTAAGGATCTTACACACTCCCGATGAGTATGCATCATTGTTTTATCGGTTTGGCTCGCCACGTACTACAGTTTTAGGTTAAGGAGATCTAGATGTTCGCACTTTTTGCTTTATGATTTCTCATTAGAATAGAAGTTATGTAGAAGTTTCATAGTGTGAATTTTAGTACTCATGGGCAAATTGAGTCAAACGGTTTGACTTGCTGACTTTAGTTGACTTTGACTTGACCGAAATTTGACGGTTGTCACATCATCCCCCCGTTAGAGGGAATTTCATCCCGAAATTTGAATTTAGGCAAGGAGTAGGCATGAATAATCAAGCCGAGAAGTGAGGATACTTCCTAATCGACTGACTCACGCGTTCCCATGTGACTCTAGGTCCTTGGTTAGAATTCCAACGAACTTTCACTAATGGGAAGTGGTGTTGTTTCATCCGCTTGACCTCGATCCATGGTCACCATGGTTCTTCTAAGAAGGTGAGGCTCTTGTGGAACTCGATCTCGTCGAGGGGAATTGCAAGAGTCTCATCGGATAGATTCTTCTTG